ATGTCATCACGGACTGGATGGACAGCGCCAATTCCGTCTTCGCGATCGACGTCGACGGCGACGGCGACGTCGACGCGCTCTCGAGCGGCAGCACCGTGGCTGCGTGGTACGAGAACGACGGGTCCCAGTCCTTCACCGAGCATACGAGAACGACGGGTCCCAGTCCTTCACGGAGCGCATCATCACGACGCTCGCGGACTTTGCCTACTCGGTCTTCGCCATCGACGTCGACGGCGACGGCGACGTCGATGTCTTGTCGGCGTCCTTCAGCGACGACACGGTCGCCTGGTACGAGAACGACGGGTCCCAGTCCTTCACCGAGCGCGTCATCACGACGCTCGCGGAGTGGGCCTGCTCCGTCTTCGCGATCGACGTCGACGGCGACGGCGACGTCGACGCGCTCTCGGCGTCCTACCACGACGACACGATCGCGTGGTACGAGTACGACGCGGGCGAGGACGACGAGCCCCCCGTCTTTGCCAAGCACGTCATCACGACGCTCGCGGACGAGGGCAACACTGTTTTCGCGGTCGACCTCGACGGTGACGGCGACGTCGACGCGCTCTCGGCGTCCTACAACGACGACACTGTCGCCTGGTACGAGAACGACGGGTCCCAGTCGTTCGCGCGGCGCATTATTACGAACTCGGCAGACGCCGCTATTTCTGTCTTCGCGATCGACGTCGACGGCGACGGCGACGTGGACGCGCTGTCGGCGTCCCGCGACGACGACACGGTCGCGTGGTACGAAAACGACGGCTCCCAGTCCTTCACCGACCGCGCCATCTCGAACTCCGCGGACGGCCGCGGCGGCGTCTACGCGATCGATCTTGACGGCGACGGCGACGTCGACGTGCTCTCGGCATCGCAGTATGACGACACGGTCGCGTGGTACGAGAACGAGTGCGGCCCGCACGCGCCGTCCCCGTCCCCGACGCCCCGCCCCACGGCCTTATGCACGAGCGTCACCTTCGCCGAGCGCGTCATCACCGACTCGGCGGACGGCGGCAACTCTGTTTTCGCGATCGACGTCTCGCGAGCGGCGAACTCGAGGTCGAGCTCGTCGACGGGCTCGGCGCGGAGGCGTCCCGCGTCGCCGGCCTCGACGAGCCCGTGGAGCTCAGCTTCGACGCGGACGCCGGCGACGCGGCCGCGTGCGTGACCTGGGACGGCGTCGCCTGGGTCGCCGACGCGAACGTGACGCTGACCGCGAGCGACGCGTCCAGCGCGTCCTGCGCGTCGACGCACCTGTCGTGCTTCGCCGTCGCGGCCGTCGTCGTCGGCGGGTCGTCGTCGGACTCGCTCTGCCGGCGGCTCCGCGCGGCCGCGGGGAGCGGCCTCTACGGGTCGCGGTCCTACAAGGCGTGGCTGCTGGCGCAGCTCGTGGGCTGGGCCGCCCTCGGCCTCTTCGCGGCGGACCAGGCCGCGGGCCTCTGGGTCGCGGCGAAGTCGTCGAAGCCCCGGAGCCCGCGCCACGCGGTGCTCCTCGAGGCGTGCTCGACGCCCAAGGCGCAGATCGTCGCGCCCGCGCTCGCCCTCGCGGGGCTCCGGTGCGCCTACTTCGCGTTCCCCATGTTCGAGGCGCGGGACCGCGTCGTCTGCGTCGAGCTCGGCGCGGACGTCCGCGCGCTCGCGGTCTACGACG